GCTAGGCTTAGCGTTATAGCGTTAGGCTATGGCGTTGTAAAATAACGTCATAAATAATTGCCAACAAATTTAATAATAAACGTCGCTCTACCTGACAGGTATTCCGCGAACATAATTATGAGCTTTAAACGATAATTGAATTCTCTGTGTGTACGTAGAACAAGGGCATACAGCCTTAATATTTCTAGTGCGAGCTTGCGTATATTTCAAACGACAAATTGGAATCAGACGACTGGGACGACTTGGCATTACGGAGGAATTTGATTCCACCCGGCTAGTTTTCATGGCTTTCGGCATAAATTTAAATATAAGATATCTAGGTATCCATATATATATATATATATATATATATATATATATATAGAAGTAAAATCACACACGAATGATATATATGAAATCACATCGTACACGAATTGAACAATGTCGCTTACGGTATAACGAGACTAAAGTAAACAATGTACCGCCTAAACGCGGGAGAAAGATTGAGTTTTACGGCGCACACGCGGCGATTTTTATCGACAGTACTGGCGATTTTGTTGCCAGCAACAAAGTCGCCGAGAAATCGCCACGTGTGCGCTGCACGGCGTCGGCAATTTTGACGCCAGAAACTCGTCGCTGGAATATCAAACACGTTTGATATTTGTTGCCAAGTCGCTGAACAATCGCTACGTGTGCGCTGACCAGGCGACGGATTCAGGCAACAGTTTTTGGATTAACCAATCAAATGCATGATTTGAAGAACGTGATCAAATATGGCAGCGCCCGTGGTGTGGTTTGAACAGGTCACGTACAGCTCATACAGTGGTATGTTGCTGACAGATGGTTGCATTGTCGCCGGGTGGCGCACACGTGGCGATTTTTATCGACAGTACTGTCGATAAAAATCGCCAGTACTGTCGATAAAAATCACCACGTTTGCGCCCGGCTTTAGGGCAACTACGTGCGGAGGCCGCCCAATCGCGTGCTTGTTGCGCATACAGCGTTGTGAAGCTACCAGCGGCTTGCATTACCGCGCAAATAACACGGGGCTTCACCCGGCCGGTGTGTTTGTGAGTGTCGAAGCGACGCACCTGTGTTATTTCTGCGGCCTGTGTCCATAGCAAACACGGGCAGTGTAATCCTCCCGGCGCGCCGTTTGCCGAGAATTACATGAACGAGTATTGCATGCGATGAATCGCTGCATGGTACTATAGAGTAAGGGAATACTAGATCTGGCTCTCGAATGACGGTGATGTCGATAGCAGCCAGCGTAGCAGCATGATGCGGGCGATGTCGCCGGCTGCTAACTATATCTGCCGTGGTGTGTTATGTTCAAGATTTACACACGCACACACGCGCGCGCACGCTCGTACGTACACATATACACGCGCACACGAAGCGCGCACTCCCAAACACGTTCACGCGCACGCACAAGCACGCGCGTAAGTCTGATAAAACTATAGGTAAAGTAGCGCATTTCGGCAGGGTTGTCCGAGACTCTAAACTCTATGGTGCACTAATGCATCAACCAGCCAGTGAAGCTAGACTTTGTCTAAAACACAGGACCTACAAATGCGAAAGTTTTTAATTTAGCGATTAATTTAGTGATGTTCCGGTAAACTCTGAAATACAACGATCTAATGATTTCTGTGATTTGCAATGAAACGTCATTATCATTAATTTACAATTCAAATTCAAAGTTATTTATTAGCTTATTACAGTTCAAGTAAGTAGTACTATTAGTGGTAAGAGCAGTATTGGTGTAGTAGTAGCAACACTAGCGCAAGCAAGTAGTAGCGTGTGCTCTTGTATTGTATACAGTTACACACGCATACCCACGGCGTTGTGCGCGCGTGTACGCGTGTGCATGATCGTGTGCGTGTATGCACGTGTACGTGGTCGTGTGCGTGTATGCGCGTGTACGAGGTCGTGCGTTGGCGTGTTTATGGCATGCTAACGATTTTATTCGACGCAATTAGAGAAGGTATATACGGACGCCCCTTTTCCAATTTCGAGTTTTCCATACCTTCGTTGACTGTCGTATGAAACGTGGATGTATGTGTATATATTGGGCATTAATTGCAATCGCTTGCCGTGCGTGGCCATGGCATGTTTCTATAATGATAATACCGAAGCCAACAAACATTGCCCCATTAGTAATTCAAATATTATCTAGGGAGAGAGAGCGTGCCTGTATAAGATACTGCGCGAAAACTTATTCCTCATGGTCATCCTCTGATGAAAGCAAACACAATGGCAAAGCTCCAGTTTACATAATGATAGCGATTTTACAATTCACTAAATAATGAGTTCATTTTACGGCTTGCATTTTCTTGCTATTCGATATTCGCGTAACTAGCATTACGCTATCTCGCTAAAATACCAGGTAGTATATACACACCGCCTACAGCAAAATTACTCGCCATTCAGACGTAAATGAATTCAAACCCAATGCACGCCGAGGCCATCCACGAGGTAATGCTTCGTCAACGTATATATGAGTTATTGGGTTATAGATAGACAATTAGCCGCACAGCCTCGCCGATTTAAAAGCGTCCCTTGTTAATCAGAACGCAATATGTGCAATACAACAATAGGACTGGGATGATAGTCAGCGAGAAAGAAGGGGAGAAAATGTGCGAGCATAAGGGAGAGAGAAAGAGAGAGAGAGAGAGAGAGAGAAAGGGAATGAGAGAGTGTAGATGGATAGAAAGACAGAGAAAGCGGGGTACGGGGTGAGATAGATAGATATAGAGAGTGATAGACAAAGAGATAGATGAAGCGATATAGAGAAAGAGAGAGAGATTAATAGATAGAGCGAGATAGATGGCTAGGAGTGACCGTGGGGAGGAAGGAAAGAAAGAAAGAGAGAGAGAGAGAGAGAGAGAGAGAGAGAGAGAGAGAGAGAGAAGAGATGTTGGGGTGGGAGAGGAAACGCATACTGCACAAATATGTGTAGAATCTAAATGAATGTAATAGTGCAATCTAAAATATTGCAATCCATTTTCAATTCAATTAATACATGGGAAACAGCACAGCACTTGCAACGAAGATCCCTAGCAGCTGAACTTCTATCTAGTGGCTTAACTAGAGCTGTAAACAAAGAATCCTATATCAAAACACGATTAAAATTACTTATAATAAACACTGTGCCATAAGCGTTGTTACATAATATAATCTACGCCTGGTCCAACTGAAAATATGTCCTTAGACCTACATTAAAGTTCTTCTTTATCTGAAATCGACCGACTGAAACGGACAGTGTATCACCGCAAACAGACACGCACGCAAGTCACGGCTGGATATTGCCACCCTCCTAAAACATCGCCATTCTCTACCATTCAATTCTGTAATATCCCAGCAACGACGCGCTCTCGCATTTAATGTTCCTACCGCCTCGATCCTACCGCTTATAGCCTCTGCGTGTTATAGTCCATCGAAACACGCTTGCTTGATGACGGTGAAGCCAAATCTCTCCCCAGGTGCTTGCAGCGGGCAGCCAGCGCACTAGCCGGCGCGCTACTGGAGCTGGAAGATAGTGAATAGATGGTGCTCGCAAATAATGCGTAAATTTTCTCTCTCTCTCTCTCTCTCTCTCTCTGTCTGTCTATCGCGCGCGCGCGGCGCAACACTCTATTAAATTTGTAAAAAACAAGGTGGGGTACTTGGATCGGCTTTAGTCGTCTCACCCGAACAGTGAGCGGTGCTAAAACTGCAAATGATTACCGCCGAGTGACGTTTCCTGTGCACGCGTGTGATAGTGCGTAGGCATGAGAACACGCTCGCGTGTAATGGCGCGCAGCGACGAGCGGCGCTTGCAACGCGGCTCGGAGGGATGAGAGCACGCGTGTTACGGCGCGCGTGTGAAGGGTCTCAATACACGCAAACACACGCGGCCACTTAGTGTTTTCTTTCTATGGCATTGCTGCTTGAGGCACTAACACACGCACACACAAACACTCCTCCCACAGACAGACACACATATACCCACACACATGCACAGCGACATACATACATACATTCATACATACATACAAATATACGTATGTACGTACGTACGGACGGACGGACGGACGGACGGACGGACGGTCAGACAGACAGACAAACAGAGAGGCAGAGAGACAGGCGGACAGGCAGACAGGAAGATAAACGGACGGACAGATGGACAGGAAGACAGACAGACGGACAGAGAGACACGCGCACATACACACACACATACTTACCAGCTGTTAATTAGCAACTCAAGTGTGATGGCATGTCGTTTGCCGCCTACTCTCCCACCGTCTAGAAGTCCCGCTTCACAAAGCCGCGCCATTTGGCCGTCTCCCGTCGTCGCCATTTATTCTCGCCGTCGTCTGCTGATGCTGCGTCACAGCAGAGCTAACGATGCTCGCACACATCTCACAGCTCACTCCACTTCATCCGTGAATACTTAGAAGTGTATCTCATCGAAAGAGAGTCTGAGCCGAAATCCTTCTACTGACACCCGTTCCTAGAGGCTGGCAAACATCCACCGGGAAGGGGGGTCCCCAAGTTAGGAAGGAATGAAAATAAAATAAAATGAATAAAAGGAATGAAAATAAAAGGCGCGCTTTTGTCGCATAAGGTTTATTAGCACACGACGGTATCAAGAGCCAACGATTCTGTCAGGCGATGATGTCATCACACCACAAGTGAATAAAAGCACAAATGCGTTTTTACCCGCTAGTAATTATGTCAAAAGTGCACAAGTAGAGAGTAGTACATCTCTGTTCATGTACTCCTGAATATATGTATCGTATTATAGGCTCACGGAATTATGGAATGCCATGTAGATTCATGGAATGTTGTCAGGAAGATCGCGAATAGTTATGACCATCATGACAATTCTAAACTGACATAGTAACTACTGAAAATAAACTGCAACTAATTAATGTGATGAATTAATTACTGATGATTTTTCTGAGAACGGGCGACTGCGTGATAATTGTACGTGTATTTCATATAGTATTTTATCGTTTCTTTCTTTCTGTGTGTTTCAGGTGGATGTCACGCATACGGACACGCTTGCCTGGGAGGTAATTATACTCATTATATATAATTGCAAGAGCGTATAAAAAAGGCATTCTTTATACGCGCTTGATAATTGTTATATAGTTAGCTATGTGTGTGTGTGTGTGTGTGTGTGTGTGTGTGTGTGTGTGTGTGTGTGTGTTTGTGTGTGTGTGTGTGTACGTGCACCTCCCTAGTTATCATCCATGCACGAAATCAGTGTAACGAGGCTTAACAAATAAATATCCGATCCCGCAAACCCACCCCCGTAACTCATCTACATCGACCACACCCAAAACACCATATATATCGCATTTGATGTATAGTTACAATGCGTGGTAATTAATTAAATTAATCATGCGTGGTAACATCTAATATAGCGAATACTTAAACGACGTATATATTCAGGCATGTAGACATATCCCTTTAAGCGAGAACGATTGAACGCGTTTTCTTTAAGTTTTACCATGCGTTGAAATCGGTCGGGTGGCGCTTGTAGAAAACAACCAACTATTTTCATTGAGACTCTTTCTCTGTAACACAACGTCAGATGATTGTTTTATATATTATTATTATTACGTGTTCTACATTGTGCGTGTAGTGTGTCACTCGCAGGCATTTCCCTTTCGTTCTTTTATTTTTAGTTATTTCCAGGTAATGAGGACAATAAATGTAAGAGCTGAAATAAATAACAATTTCTCCGACCGAGTTTTCTCGTTTAAAACAATCCTTACACTCGCTTACACCGATTTCGCCGACGATGTAGCCGCCACGCTGTTGATGACGTCGTTTACGAAGACGACGACAACGACGACGACAACGACGACGATGCCCAAAGCTTCACCGACAGCTAAACAGATAGCGGAAACGTGAAGTCGGCGCAGAAACTGGCGACGCGATCGCCGACGAAGCGGCGACTCTGATATTACCGACGACGTCTCTAATGATGCATTCAGCCGGACGGCGAGCGGCACGTCACAGCGGCGACGTCAGTTGTCGCCAGCACGCGGACACGCGGCGCTATAGAGCAACGTCGCCCGCATTTGCTTGCAATCTACCTGTAGTGCTGCTGGTACACGCAATACGCAATCTCTTTCCCCCCACCCACCCGCGCACACACACGCACGCAACGCGCACACACGCGCGTGCACACACACTCGCACATGCATACACATACACGCACTCGCGCACTTATATTACACGTACACGCGCACATACACATACACATACACATACACATACACATACACATACACATACACATACACATACACATACACATACACATACACATACACATACACATACAATGTCTTTGTGTATGTGTGTGTGTGTGTGTGTGTTTATAAGCGTACATATACACGCATTAAATTACCTTTGTTATTTTTGATTATTTCTGCTTTGTTTAGATGATCTCTGTTTTGAACGCTTTTGCTACACCTGTGTATTACCGAACCATGTTCATTATTGATTATCGAAATAATACATGGCGATGTGTTAATTAAGACGAGCTACTATGTATACATATTGACACATCCACTAACGTCGTTACTGCCAATATTTCTCCCTCCCTCTTCTTTTCTCTATCTCCTCTATCGCTAGCTTTTTTTTACGCCGCTTTCATTTTCCAGATCGTTCTCGCTCTCTCTCTCTTACTCTCTCACTCCCTCTTCCTTTCACGTTCTTTATCGCTCGCTCCTTCTCGATCTCCCTCTCTCTCATTTTCCAGATCGATCTCCTCCTCTCTCTCTCTTTTTCCTTCTCCCCTTCTCTCTCGCTAACATCTCTCATCATGCAGGTATGGGCAAGCGCGCCGATGACGCCGCCCTGCAGAGTTCTCTGCAGCTGTCACGTGACGACACGCAGCGCCCTCGCACGGCGCACGGATACTACAACCAGCTGCGGCAGCTTCTGCAGCGCGTCGCAGCACTCGATCGGCAGAAGCAGACGGCCAGGATGACGTCACAAAATGACGACTTCCGACGAGACGTCGGCGACTACAGCGACCGCTTCTATCCCGTCGACGAGCGACGAACGTACGCCGACGACGACGGCGGCATCGCGACGGGCGACTTAGGAAAATTGATCGACCAAACTCGGAGGTTAGGCGGCATATCGAAGAAATGGGTATGCGAATTTTCTGATAGCGGTATCGACTTACTTCCTTCCGGTCAGTGGGGGGCTTATCTTCCCAATGCGCGCGCGTGCGTCGGCCATGATGGATTGGTGGTAATATTGAATTATGTATGAATGCCGCACGTGCATTCCTAATCCCCGCGCGAAATAGCAGCAGATATCCTCCGCCTCTTCCTCATTCTTAACGCCATCGATTACGCCGTCGCGTGCGTGTCTTCTGAACATCGCCGAGTTTTTGTGCCTTCGTCAATAGATGGCGCTGTAATGTCATGAAGAATAGAGTCCTAATGAGGAATAGAGTCCTAATGAGGAATCGCGTTCACGCGCACTAAATATCATCCTGCAAAAGTTATAAGAAATAATGCGCATCTAACAAATTGACGGTTACTCGGTAAATATAAATAAACACACATATATATATATATATATAATGTGATGTAAGAGAGAGAGAGAGAGAGAGAGAGAGAGAGAGAGAGAGAGAGAGAGAGAGAGAGAGAGAGAGAGAGAGGCATGGAGGAGAAAGATGCGAGGTAGAGAGAGGAGGAGGGGGATGAAGAGGAGAGAGAGAGAGAGAGAAAGAGAGAGATATATAGAGAGAAACGGGAGGCAGGCTGTCAATAAGCATGCAGGTTCGGCAGCTGGCGAGGGAGAATATCGAACAAACGTCGAACATAGATCGTAGAAGACCTACGTGGGTTGACAGCTCGTTGCCCCCACGCTTGCAGTAACGGTGGGGAGCGGCGCCAGCAATCGCATGACGTCACACGCGTCATAGCATTCGTCATGAAGATTAAAATGCTCCGCCAGCCAAGGTGTTTTGCAACAGTTTAAGGACTCCATAGGCAGCAGACATGAATGAGCATGGCACGAAAATTAATTAAAAATACGCAGAGAGTTTCGGCGCATACACAACTCGCACTTTATTTATGCCAAATAACCACAGATTCGGGGTCCATTGAAACGTACATCTATAATCGTGTGACAGCGACATGAGAAAAAGCATTAATCCCAGATGTCTCCATAAATTAAGAATATATATATATATATATATATATATATATGCACTTTAATAATAGGCAATTCATGCACGTAGAGAGAGCGGGTCCATGGTAGTTTCCCAACTCCGAGTGCCCGTGCGTGATTTCGGAAAAAAAACTAGAAAAATGTATAAAGTACATGGTAATTTCCCAGAGATCGAGTTCTCAGTCATATAATATATCGTCAGTACAAACAAGCGGTTTCTCGCTGCAGCAGTCATTGAACGTTTAACTTATGTCTGTTACGGCATTAGTCAGTGATCTTTTAACTCATGTCCGTTACGGCAGCAGACAATGATAATTTAACTCGTCCGTTACAGCATCATTCACTGATAATTTAACTCATGTCCGTTACGGCAGCAGTCACTGATAATTTAACTCGTGTCTGTTACAGCAAAAGTCACTGATCATTTAACTCATGTTCGTAACGGGAGCAGTAACTAATAATTTAGCTGATGTTCGTTACAGCAGCAGCCACTGATGGACCCGTCCTCCATGGGTGACGACAGCGAGGATGTGGAAGGCATCAACGACGTAAGATGGCTTCGGAAAAGATCGATTTCCACCAGTAGGAGGCGCTAGATGCTGACATCGGCGGCGCGAGTGCGTGCGAGAGCGGGGGCGACTCAAGAAGATGCATGCGCAACACACTTCACATCATGTTTAGCGTGAGCGTCACTAGGGGGCGCAGCGGACGTCGAGGTGCACGTGTAGTGTAGTCGATGATCTCGCCCCAAACAGCATCAGCAACAACAATAACAAAAAGAACGTACTCTTAATGTCCACACCGTTTCGTCAGTGTATTGTAGCAATGATAGCAACCTATGTATGCGCGCAGACCCCAAAAACGATTAGAAAGAGAGAGAGAGAGAGCGCGCGCGAGAAATAGAGAGAAAGAAAAAGCGAGGGAGAGCGAGAGAAAGAGAGAAAGAGGGAAAGAATGAAGAAGAGAGAAAGAGAGAGAGAGAGAGAGAGAGAGAGAGAGAGAGAGAGAGAGAGAGAGAGAGAGAGAGAGAGTAAGAGAGAGGGAGAGGAGGAGGGCGAGACAGCGGTCAGCGGACGTATTCTCTAAAAAACATTGCCCTAGAATGTTTGTATATACCTGCTCGCGTGTGCAACGTATATGTATGTATGTATGAATGTATGCATGTGTGTGTGTGTGTGTGTGTGTGTGTGTGTGTGTGTGTGTGTGTGTGTGTGTGTGTGTGTGTGTGTGTGTGTGTGTCTCTCTCTATCTTTCTCTCTCCTTTTATATATATTTCTCTTTCTCGCTCTCTCACACGCACACACAAACACCTGCGCCGTATATAGGAAATTGTTCATCATATATGAAGCCTTGCGTGTTTTTGTTTGCTGATCGTTGGTGTATGCAATATTAATGTTTTCCCATTCCTCGCGCCCATTCTTCTGCGTTAATACTCGCAGCTGAGTGTTAATGGGATGCTCTATTCTCAGGCTCACAGACAACGACACATAACGACTTATTAATTTCTCTTCCGGTGCTAAAACATTGATGTTCGAGCAGCGAATGCGCGCAGCAGAGCAGACCTACGATATCAGCTTGCACAGCCGCCTACGTGGGTACTGCTGCCACGGGCGTGTATCACACGATATGTAAACATTTCTCGCGTTTCCTCTCCCACGCACGTGTCGTCATCGCCACCTGTCGTCGCCGTCGTCGCCATCGTTGCAGTCGTCATTCATCATCAGTGTCGTCGTCATCATCGTAGTCGTTCTTCCTACTGCCGCTGTCATTGTTGCTAATATCATCGTTGTCGTTTTTTACGGTCATCGTCATTGTCGTTATGGCTACAATCATTCTCAACATCTCATCTAGTCTCACTCATTATGAGCGCGTTGACACATTATTACGTTTTAAGTTCCCATACTCTAACTCGCATAAACTCCATATTTTCTTCAGTAAAATTGCGAATAGCGCTCCCCCAGCAAACCTAATGTACATGTATTGCAGAATAACGTCATACGCAACAGATGTCCGCGAGCACGCGATTCACTAAAAAACGCCAGTATTTTCATGAATTCAGCTTTCAGTATAGCTGAGGACACGACTGCGACCCAGCTACGTGCTCTTCCGCATGTGACTAATAAGGATAATGAATCCCTGGCGCTATAGAGCAGCTCTTCACTAATAACATAAGATGACTTTACACATACGCAGTACACCTACACACACACACACACACACACACACACACACACACACACACACACACGTCACACACACACACACACACGCACGCGCGCGCAGGCACGCAAGCACACAACGAATGCACGCTCGCGCGCCCATACACGCGCGCGCGCGCACACACACACACACACATACATACATACATACATACATACATACATACATACATACATAGATGCGCATACATACTACGCAACACAAAGAACGCGCGACGAGATTGATTCACAGAGGTGGAAAGACGCGCGCGGATAAAAGATTGGATTTCTCGTAATTTAATGCATTCTCGCCGTGGAAAACTAGCACGTAGGCGGACGATTATACTCATTCAAATCGGGAAGGATTAGCATTGCAATCGACAAAGCAATAATGATGTAACGGAGCGCAAACGAAGTAGAAGAAAACGACAGCAATGTCGCGTTATCAAATCGTTTACATTACGCTCGCAGGTGCCGTAATTCCTATAGGACCTACACCGTCCCGTTTCTTTTCCGAGGCGAGATTTGAATTGCTCTAGTCGAATTCGTGTAACTCTCTAATACGTCAGCTGTAACCCAAATTATAATAATACCCCGCTATGTCCGATGTGAGACATCCGCCATCCCTATAACTACAGGTGACCCAGGAGTTGGCTAGCGTATAGGAAATAGGAAAATAGCGAATAGGAAAAAAGTTGGGTTTCAACGCTAGCTCCATGTTCGTGGGAATAATCATGAATTGTAACTTCTGCATTATTATGTCACACACACACAAACCCAACCAATAATCTAAGTACCAATGATAAACTTGCTGGCGATAAGTGATACTAGTTTCAAATAGTTTGCCGGTCGAATTTATTCGTTTTTCTAGCGATATGAAAAATATATACATAGATACGCGTATATGTATATATGTAGACATGTGTTATTTGATTAGGACGATCTTTGCCTTTTCTCGAAAATATAGCCCATTGTTGGCTCTTTCCTGCCAAGCATTCGCCATGGTGATTATTTCATCTGCCGGGTCGGATCCAACCTGCGATCGTCGCGCCACATGGCGGTCTAACGTCGACGCCTTCTCACTCGGTGAGAGTTTTCGTACATGTGATTTATCTGAAAGGAAATACGCGGCGGCGTAAATGACATGATGCACACAGGCTGCATATTTCGGTCTACTTTGTCGCTTGACAGCGATAATGTTTAAAACGCTTCGTCACACATGCAGCGTCGGTGCGCGAGGAACACATTGCTATGAATCTCGCCGCTTCATTTAATTAAATGTTAGATATCCGCACTATGCGCATACGCAAAGAATAGGCAAGTGTAGCATAAAAAATACAGAAATAAGGAACGCGGCAGTGGGCTTACGCGTGCGTGCGTGTGTGTGTGTGTGTGTGTGTGTGTGTGTGTGTGTGTGTGTGTGTGTGTGTGTGCCGCGCGCGCGTCGTGTGCGCGTATGTTTGTGTGTGTGCATATATGTATAATACTATATATACCTCAAAGTACTACTTATACTATATCATACCTATCACTAATGCGTCCCGCCATGTGATGTCGTACCGTATACGTCGCGTGCATTCCAATTGCCGTGCGTGCGTGCAGTTCGTGGGATCAGTAGCGTGGCGTCATGGTGTTGTTTAAATCATAGATGTACTAACCGCGGTTATCCCTGCGTTTATTTTTAATCCAGTTGAGATAATCCGCACGCTAATGGCAATTAGCGAAAATTAAAGGAAATATAAAATCAAATAAGCTCATTAGTTAAGGTTATTCTTTCTACGTTAGCACTCCACTAAAATCACCGCTTCATGGCGTGTCTGCGAGTCAAACTATTAACACAACACTATCCGGTAAATAATACATTTTATACACATGCAACATGTAATTAAACATAATATATTAATATACCTAGTATATACTTTTATATTTCTTTTAAGTGTGCGTGGACGTGTAGTCCGGTGTGGTGCACTCCATTTATTTTATTGGCTGCACTGTTTTTGTGCTGCGCATGCCGTTTGCGTTGTTGTCGTTGAGTATCGTAGTACAGTCCCGTACAACAAACACGCACGCACAGCCTGCGCGTTGCGCACTACACAACACGACATGGCAAGGCACACACACCGAAGCGCTGTTTCATGAACAGAGCATCGGCCTCGGCCGAATTACCGGTTATTTTTCAGACCTGTCTAAGATGAGTGTCCAATGACACTGGGTAGCTCACTCACAAAAAAATGCACAAACAAATGAGTGAGTGAGACAGAACGTCAGTTTTTAATTGAGGCAACCATCGACATACAATGTAATCGGAAACGAAAGAGTATATATCGGGAGAACTCCCGACTATAATATTCTTGATAACAGTTATATGGTACATTTTTATGTAAAAATAAATGGTTTGAGATGTGAAAGGATCTGAGTGGGCCGAGCGAAGCCTCCAAATCAGGCGTTACAAAACACACACACCAAAACGAATACCAACACACGCGAGCGAGCATTCACAACACGAGCGAGTCTCTTTATTAAACTAACCAAATACTAACTACACGACAAACAATTTATCAGGCCACCGACCACGCTACGCGCCTAAAACCCGGCGAGAGCCGCCACGAGCATCGCAAGGCACACACACCGCAAACTCTCAACTGATAACGCATAGTCAAAGAATTGAAGAGGATACGGCCTTATTCGACGTAGCTGCTCAATCTGTAAAAACCAAAACCCGGTGAACAATCGACGGTCCTACTGGTCCCCAACCGCCGACCACAACACAACTTTATTGGTCACAGACGAAACGTTATGTCGAGCGGTTCATGGGCAAATGTTTAACTTGCTACCGGCTCAAATCGGAGCTCATAACTACTCAGAGCGGCACCACACAAGTCGTGAGTTGCCGAGCACACAATAAAGCGCATCTAGTGATTCTTAAATTCGCATACAAGTAGCTATGCTTAGGACTAGCAACGAAAAGAAATAAAACACTGAATTTTCGACTGGTTTGAGAGCTTCGGTGCTCCAGAGAGAGATTGAGGCCTCGCCCTCCCGCTCTGCAGGCACGACTGGCGCGTCGTCCTAGCAAATAACACACTAGATCGCAATGACTAGCGCCCGCGCGCGTTCGTTAGGACCTTATGTCCATTTGTAAAACAAATATTACACCGTCGTCAAGAGAAATACGACGTCTTTTCATGTCGGGCGAGCGATGTCGTGAGCTAGGCAGAGAGGAGCGCCATATTTTGCATTAAAGAATTGTCAATGCAAATCATCGTCAGCCATATTTGTAAAACGAACCGCGCAAGGACAGTGAAGCAACCACCCCAAGTCACGAGAGCCGTAACCTTGTTCGTTATGCTCGTCCGCTCTAAAAGATTGCTTTCGGTCATCACGAGAGTGCCATTAATAACCACACCTAACAAACCCACACTCTGCATTCTTGTTTGTAAATTATCAAGACCAGAGGGAACCCGACAAATCAGATGATAGACGAGACCGCTGAGACGCTGAGAGCCAGAGATCACAACCAAGAGGAAGAGAATAAGCGAGAGAGAGACCGATTGGAGAACGAATGAGAGACTGAGAGCACGATAGAATGAGGAGCAAATAACCAGAAAGAGAGAGAAGCAATTTTGAGCCGAAAAAGAGAAAGACTGATGGCATGACGAGAGAGAAGAACGATACGGGAGGGGGCAGTCCGACGAATATATATATATATCGAAATTCAATAGCT